TGTCTACATTATTACAGTTTCTGATTTACAGGCCGATGACAGGCTGACAGGTTTATTTCTGTGGTTAGACAAGCTGATGTCTGTTAAACCAGGTGATTAATAACTGCTTGATGCTTGAGTAATTATGTTGTATGAAAAAGAGGTAGGATTATTAGATCATTTTCACTTTTTTCTAGCTCCTGTGATGTGAATGAGGTCATTTTTTCACAATAATATAATACACATGAATCTTTTATGCCCACAATTAAAATAAGTAAAGCAAATCAGACAAAACAAGCAAACTAACTGTAACCACCAACCATAACTTCACTTGATTACAGCCAAGTTAGCTTACCTTTGCAGTGACGAGTGTGTTGTCGCAGTCCTGCGGTTGAAATGTGAACAGTTGCTGCACCCAGCCATTCGTGAAATGTCCGTGAGCTTCGAGAGATTTATAGTTTCTGAACTGTTCATATGTGTAAGCGCTGATACCGTAAACGAGGTAGTTTGTTATATCCAGCGATGAAGTTGGAGGCAGTAATGTGGCGTCGGAGCTCCAGTCTTTAGCTGTGAGGTCGTACGGATCTATGTTATTGATTGTCGACAATTTAGCCAAATACCGGTCCCTGGCCACCTTGATAAGTTTGTTCCTGTACGGTATCCTCTCATCCTTCTTATTCTTCTCCAGCTCGGCGACTGGGTAACAGTTTAAAAACTCACTACTAACTGCTAACGTTACTAACTATGACTTCCCCGGACAGCTACTCCAGTTCTGTGTTTACATCCGCGGTACAACTAAAATGGCGCCTGGGGGTGTGTCTGCCAGTTAGGACACGTGACTGACAAAGACCGATTGTACATGTATTTGATACAGTATAGTCCTGATATACTCACTAGAAAATACACTATATTGATAAAAATAAAGTTATATGGTCATATATTTTATTATTATTATTATTTTTATTAGTAATAGTCATTCCCAACACCCATTACTGAAACAAAATACCTTGTATCACAGATTACATGGTTAAGATCACAACTGTCTGTCTTACACACTTTGGCCAGCAGGTGGTTTCGTGTGCACATGAAGCCTCAAGAAATGAACCCTTTTCTGAACCAATTTGCTGGAAAGCTTCAATGCCTCATGAGGCTTCATCTCACCATCACTAATTTTAAGACCAGGGTGTCATCCATTTTTAAGGTTTTAAGACGAAGCTGCGACAACTAGTGATGTTACAGCTGATACTGCAGTCCCGAGGCCTGTGTCGAGCAAAGGGGGCGTGTCCAAATGAAGCTCGTGTTGAAGCCTGTATCGTTTTTCAGGATATCACGTGACCAAAGACAAACGAGGCCCCGTTTCTCTGGAATCACGTGACTGCCTCGTGGTGTGATTCGAGTCGAGAAATACATAGGGCTCTAGTTCCCGGCGCAGCGCAGGGTGGCGCAGGGTGGCGAACCCCGCGCAGAGCTAGCTTCGAGCAGCGCAAACCAAGGCGCGCTCAGTTTGGTAGTTTGGCAGACCGAGGTGCGCTGAGATGGGTGTGGCGGCGCAGCGGAGGAGGTGTTGACAGATCCAGCTTGGCGCAGTGACAGTTTCGTGCCAAAAGGCCTCGCCGAAGGTGCGCTAAAAGCTCGCCAACTGAAACCACGTCTACTGTCAGTGCAGGGGGAGCGCAGCCGGTGTAAGCTGAAGTTTGGCTGACCGGCGGACAGTGCGCACACGTCACCAAAACCTCACAGGCAGGTTTCCAGAATATCAGGCACTTTAACATTGCAATAAATACCCAAAAAACCACTATTCAATGCAACTATCTGCAATCAGCACATAAATGTATCTCTATATTGACTGTCCTGTCACATCTGGTGTCAGATCAAAGGGGATTGGCACGTTTGGCACGCGTAATGGAAACCCAACCTGATTTGATTAACACAGTTGCAAACTAATGAGTTCACATCCCTCTCAGCCAACCACAAACAGCCACAGCATCAGATAAGGAGTATATATTCAGCAACTGTCATCTTAGAAAAGTCAAAAGAAAAGAAACCGAGTGAGACTGCGAGAGAGAAAGAGAGAGCACGCGCGCACGAGAGAAACGCAACATTGATTTACAATTGTGGTGACCTCCTCCCAGGCTACCTTTGCATCATCAGCCCGTGGAGGTCTGCTCGCAGTTCCGTATATTCGGACACTGCGAGCTTGGACCTCCTGGACCAAAACATCAGTTTCCTCCTGGGAGAAGTTTGGCCATCTGACGCTGCTGCTCTCTTCCGCCATGGCGAATTGAGTAAACTCTCATTACGCCTTTGCGCGGTGCATTTAAGGGCGAGGAGAGGGGCTCATTTGATTGGTGTGATGTGAATGGGCTGTGTAAAACCCACTCCACGCCTTCTCTCCTCCCTCTTTCCGACTTGCGCCGGTAGGAAGGACGGAGGTGGGATAGAGGAGTAGCTGTGCCAGGGCGCACGGTGTGCCAAACTTACAAAATCCGCCTGGCCACACCCAGTTGGCGAAGCGCAGGTGCGCTGCGCCTCCACCGCACCCGGTCTATGAAACTAGAGCCCATAGTGTTTTGCATCATCCGAGGTGATTCTGAAGATTGTTAAGTGGAGAGGATTGAGTGACCCAGTCACACAAGCACTCCAGCCTTTTGTGGACAGACACACACACATAGATATATATATGTATATATAGGTATATATACATATATGTGTGTGTGTATATGCACTTTATTGATATACCGCGTTCAGGACAGATTCATTTCATCTGGCTTTACAATACCTCATAAGGGGATTCTGACGTAATCATCATCATTAAGCATCATTATGTGTACGCCAGATCCACTGGCACGTAGCCCACATGTAATATCACAGTAGGACTGCTGTACATCAAATCACCAGCAGATGTCAGTACTCCTAAATTAGCTGTTAAACGGGGCTTCGTGTGATCGGCCTTTTGGCGAAGCAATCGGCCTGAAAGATTCGACACATTCACGGGGCTTCCTCACACCATCACTAGCGACAACTGGAATTAACTACGTTATCATTAGCTAGCGTTAGCTAGCTAGCTTGTTAGCTCCAGCACACACCCTTATCTGAGCACACACATACAGCCTCATATAGCGATGAATCAATCTCTTCTTCTTCTTCTTTTTCTTATTTATTTTATTTATTTAACCTTTATTTAACCAGGCAGAATCATTAAGAACGAGTTCTTATTTACAATGATGGCCTGACAAGAGACAACCAACGTTAAGGTGCATTACCGCCCCCTACTGTGTTGGATGAATTGATCTCCCCTCACACAAACTAGCATGGCGCTCTGTTGGGGTTGTCCCGCCCCTCCCTCTCCCCCTAAGCAATCAATACCTAAAGAAATTAACGTTTCCCTTCACTGACTAATGAGAAGAGGAATAAAACTAAGGTTGTAACCCTTCCCACGCAGAACCAGTGTAAAAACCTGCATTTCTTATGCTGCCTTCAATGTCATCTGTAAATTACATTACTCCCCATATCAATAATCACAGGACTGAACATTATACAATAAAGCTCTGTCTGATTTGATACATATGTGGTGAGGAATACTCTCCTTAGTGTTGTGTGTGTGTGTATGGTGATTGTGAACGCAGCCTGAGGCTGACTCCTTCCCCCAACCAACTCCCTAATCAGGCCAGGTTATATGAGGCACCTGTGTGTCATTGTTCAGGCAGTGGGTCTTCTGCTCTGTCCCTGCTGTGGCTGGTGTCCTGTGTTCCAGGTATGATTAGTGAAGAAACCCTCATAATTCCCATGTTAAGTGGCATTTTTCTTTTAAAGGTTGATTTGTTTGTGTTCAGAGTGTTTGCTGCAACTTTGGGAACCCCCTATCTGCTCCCTGCCCTGAAAGTGACTTGATGCCCTAGCTAGAGGTGGTGAGTAGGAGCACAGCTTTAATAATTTTTAATGTAATTTGGGCCTGGTTAATAGTTTGTTCCCTTTTCCAGGTTCTCCTGCCCTACCTACTGCTGCTTTGTCCCCTTTTGTGTTCATTAATTGAGTCTCTTTAGTTACCTTATTTTTCTTGTTTTGTTAGGGTTTTATTTAGTGGGTTTTCTTTGATTTTCTTTAAGGTTCAGTTTCCTGGGTTATCCTCTTTAAATATCTGTTAACAATCAACTGGGTTATATTACATTGTTCATTGGTTTATTTCCTGGTTACTTTATTTCTTAACTCGTTTACTGATCTGCTTGGGTCCTTTGTTTAATTTACTGGGTTATTGTATCCATTTCTTTTAATACTTTAATTCATTTTGGCTATTTTGATTACTTCATTCTATTACTTTATTACATTAATTGTTTAATTGACTACTGGGTTGCTGTATTGTATTTCCTTTGCCTGTTTATTTGGTTATTTGTTTCTGACCTTTTTTTTGTATTTAGTCTTTTTCTTTCAGGAGCAGAGCGCCATATTTTTTGGGGGGGGGCTAAGCACTTGTGGTGAGGTCCCTTCACTTTATGCATGTGAGTAACTGCACGGGGGACACCCTAGACTGCACCATTTGTTTGCTGTGAAGATTGCTGTAAAGGTTGCTGTGAGGTTTGCTGTGTTGCACCTGAGGTGAGTAGCGGTAGCACCCTGGACACTCCTGTGTAGTCTGCCTCTCCACATGTGGCCTCTGCTTAGTTTTCTTTAGTTATATTTAAGTTAATTTGGGTTCTTATACAGAATTTTTAACATTGATATTGAGGCCTTATTTTAGTCAATTGTAATAAAGGTATTTTATTTCGCTTACCAGCTTTACGTATTTTCCTTTGTTCATTAACACTCCTTTTTCCCCAGCAGCCACAGTCCCTGGTTGCATTATTATTATTATTATTATTATTATTATTATTATTATTATTATTATTATTACTATTATTATTATTACTATTATTATTATTACTATTATTACAATAAAAACATTCGAGTTATTTGGAAAAAAATCACGTCTCTGACTCTTCAGTAACGTTCCTGTGTGCCTTCTTATCCATTCTTTCAACATTATTCAAGTCCTAAATACTATTTCCTGGGGTGTAAGTCCTCAGGTGGCATTGTCCAGCTTTCTTCTAATTCTCCCTTCTAATTCTCCCTCTTATTTCAGCTTGGCTGCTAACACAGAAGCTAACTGATGTCATCACGTGATATGTGACTCTCCCCGAGCATTCTGGGTAGTGAAGTCCCTTTTTAATACAATGGCATTTTACTTGGAAATAAACTTGTGTACTTATTACCTCAAACTCAAATATTGACATGAAATGCACAGTCTTCTTTTAACAAAATATTTACCACATTAACTGAACATGAATATTAACTAAACAATCCTTAAAAATAAAATGTTTCTTCAAAATAATTCTAAAGTGTCGTACACCGAAAAACACAAATCATACAAACCCAGAATGTCTACTTGGTTACATTAATGAATAAGAGGATGCAAAATGTTGTAATAAGAATAAGTAAAATGATGATGATAGTAATAATAATAAAGACGATAATAATAATTAGAAAGCAAATATTTGAAAAATTAATATAGCCTGCTTTATATACAGGCACACTATGTATATTTCAGCTTCAACAGTCCAAAATTATCTTCTCTGATAAATTATAATTAGTCTGTTATCTGTTATTATCTGAAATGTGTACAATTGATGTGAATTCATTTCAATGAAATTAATGTGAGATGAAATCAATAAATTAATAAAACTTAGGTAAAAAAAAGTTATATTCATTTTTTCAGCGGCCGGGCCAGTGAAAATAGTAGGGAAGTAGGGAAGAAATGTTATATTGAACCCTGCCATACGAAGTATCTTAGATGTTTGATTCTTTTGCTGGTTGCAGCACTTTTCAACATGTGTATTTGACTGAGGTAGTATAATGTAGTTTCTCTAGCTTTGTTATGCAGCAAATGGAGCTATATATTTATGCAGACAGTAAGTGTATGGCTTACAGATTGCTTATGCACTAACGCTTTTTGTCTTCCAACTTTTACAGACGCCATCCTGAAGTCATTTAAAGAGGGAACAGATAATGTCTGAAGACATGCAGCTGAACACCAAAAACATGCTACAGCAAGAAGAGGATGGGAGGCAACATTAACTCTTCATCCCTGGAGCCCCTGCATCAAGGGGTGTTGCACCTTCCTGTGTAACCCTTACCCAGAATCTTTTATTGGCTGTTGTATTTGTTAAAAACTTTGAATAATACACTTCAGTGTACAGTACCGTTTTGCTGTAATTTAGATCTAATTAGCCTCTAATAGGATCTAGTTCAGGTTGAATAGGGCGAACGGTGCAGACTTTAATTTAGAGTATGGTTTTGCTGTAGTTTATACGTAATTAGCCTCTAATAAGATCTACTTAAGGTTGACTAAGGATCACTATGTATTACTACCTACAAATGGGACTCCAGAGAATGAGCCATCCAGGCAACAAGGGATTTGTTGGTGTTTGTTTAATGTCTAATAAAATATTTTACCTCCTGTTTTTGTCTAATTTGTTGCGAAGTACATGTTGTTTGCTCTCATTAGGGTATAATTGTTTGTTTAAAGCCCCTACAAGGAACTTTAATGTTGAGTTGATTTTGGCGACCCTGTGGACAAAAGCGGTAGTGTTTTGCCGGAATGAAGCCTACATTTCCCATGAGCTCTAGCACGTATTGTCGTAAAGACGCTTACCTGGCTCGTGCATGTGTTTGTTTTGAAGATGAATGAAACAAGAAGGGAAAACTTTGCCCTCGCACCTATCGGGGATCCCAGCTCACCTCTGCCGCGCCCCAGCTCCACCTCTCCGGCGTAAGCACCACTGCCGCCGGGGTAAACGCAGCGGTCAGCTGGTAAAGCTGAAGGCCTGTTTGGCAAGCACTTCCACGGCTTCTTGGACTGAGTATGGAGCAGTGCCTCGCCTCTTTATTTGTCGGCACTCGCTGGACCCTGTCGACGCCTGGCTGGTACCTGTCATCGGCCCGGATGAGGTGTTCCAGCCCCGCGGCCCCTGCTCTCCTCGTCCCCGCTGGCGCGGGGTGAATCTGTGCAACCTGTGGCCTCTGTGTGTGGCTCCCCGGACAGCTAATGCCATGGACCTACCGGCTCCTGCCAGGATTGGGCTGGTAAATGCTAGATCGCAAACGAACAAAACGTTTATCCTGAAGGATTTCCTGACTTCCCGAGGATTGGATTTTCTCTATGTGACTGAGACGTGGCTGACTGTTGGTGAGTCCAGTGCTTCACAGAACTTTTACCCGATGATTGCTGCTATTTTAACTCCCCGCGGACGTTGGGTCGAGGAGGAGCAATAGCGACTATTTATAAGAGTCACTATTTCATTTCACTACTAGTCAAATGTAAGCAGCTAGGTAAGATGACGTGTGCCGTCTGAGTGCCGTAAATCGTTTCGTCCTGGAAGCGACCTGGGGCGGACCCGGAGACAGTTTCCTAAAGGTATGGACATACACCATATAGAAATAGCACACCGATGGTCTCATTTGCTGTTGTAGGTCACGCACAGACATCAACAGAAACGAGAGACTTTTGCATATCCGGTTAAAAGTTCCTTGTAGCGGCGTTAATATCTAATAAAATATTTTACCTCTAGTTTTTGTCTAATTTGTTGCAAAGCACGTCTTGGTAGTCCTAATTAGGATATAATTGTGTTTATTTAATATCTAATAAATATAATTACCAATAGTTTTTGTCTTATTTGTTCCAAAGCACGTCTTGTTAGCCCTAATTAGGATATAATTGTGTTTGTCTAACATCTAATAAATATAATTACCTCTAGTTTTTTGCTAATTTGTTGCAAAGTACGTCTTGTTAGTCCTAATTAGGATAGAATTGTGTTAGTTTTTGTCTAATTTGTTTCAAAGTACGTCTTGTTAGCTCTTATTAGGATAAAATTGTTTTTCTTTAGTGTCTTAATTGCGAACATATTTCTACCTAATTTGGTACAAACTACAGATTGTTACGTCTTATTAGAGCAAAGTTGTCTATTTTACTGTCTAAAGAGATTATATTAGGTGTAGTTTTTTTCTAATTTGATACAAAATACAGCTTATTACATCTAATTAGCGTACTGTAAAATAAAGTGCTATCGGTGGCCTGACATCCATCTCATGCTCTTTCCCTCCTAATGGAGGGATATCCAGTGGAAAACCTACACTGCAAAATTTTTCGCTGTGAATTCACAATAAATTATTGGATGAGTTTTGCATGACTTTCACAGTAAGGATTACAGCAATATACTGTGAAATGTACTCACAGCAATTTACTGTAATTTCACATCTGTGATATTACAATGCATTGTTGTAAAAGCACAACTGCATACTATAACTTCACAGCTTCAGTGACAAAGCAATTACTGTGATATTACAGTACATTACTGGGGAATTACAACCTTTTGCTGTACATCATTACAACAAGGCCCTGTACTTTTACAGTGTGTACTGTGAAAGTAATGCACAAGTTGACAGTAATTTACTATGAATTTACAATGTATACTGTGGAAGTCATGCAAAAATTGGCAAAAATTGTACAATTAAAATGGGTTAGCATCTAATGTAATCTAATGGTATTTCCGCAGGATGACGTATGTCTTTTTCATTATTGGTTCTGCTCTCTCTGCCCCACTCATTCCTTTCTCTGTGTATACAGACATACAAATGTATTGTTAGTACCCAAGTAACAATTTGGTCTCGTAGCCACCCCCACACCCACCCCCCCACACACAGTGTTCAGATCTGGACAAATGACTAAAGTCACCCAAATTTGCATTAAACAAAATTCACCAAAAAGACAGTAGATTGCATGCATGAGTAGATGTTGAGCAGATCCCTCTTCATATTCTCCAACGTTGCCTCGGTCTCCCCCTCTGGCAAATCTGCTGGGCCCCACCTCACACACCTAGGGGTGGGCATTACATCACTCTGTAAACCTGTTGTGAGGTCATCTAAGAAGTGAATGAGTACACAGAGGCTGTGACATCATACATCAGCTTCTGTGAGGACTGCTGTAGGCTATATACCATCACTCACTACAGTGAGGTATAATGGAGTTAAATGAAGTTAAATGAAATTAAGTTTTATAGACATTTCTCTCTCTCTCTCTGTTTTTTTTTTTTTTTTTTTTTTT